TATGCATATATATATATATATGTTATGCTCTGTTTCATTACCTTAGCTTCTTTTCTCATTGCAAACTTTTTGATTAAATTGGATGAAGATCACTAGCATGTCTTTTTCAGCTAATAGATTGATACCCTTATTACCAAGACCTCATTCAATTAATCTAATGCATATTCTCAAATAATTTGGAGTGATTATTTTCATTGAATTTTATGATCATCCTAATAATACAATCACCATATATCAAGGTCTACATTTCTTAGTTGTCTCATCAAAGTCTCTAGTTTGATGGATTTCTTCTAATCACCTATCATTTGTACAAGGATTTGGAATAATTTCTTTATTTATATTAGCTTTTGAGGCATTTTTGGGTACAATCCATGACCTGTTCATTCTAGATATATATATAAGTAATGTGATGTTATCTTTCATTTCAAGTGATCTCCTTTTATAGATGGCACAACTGCTTTCATAATTTTTCTTTTTCTTTTTTGAATGTATCACTTCAACAAAGGATGGGGAAGTTGATGATGGTATGCAATCTCATCTACCAGTTGGGTGGCATCTGACATGTAATCCATCAAGCAATTCAAGGAGGTGTTAGAGATGAACAACAATTTATTCAAGTATGTCCACTAGTAGCAATAGTAGATGTGGGCCTCAACAAATGATTGAAGTAAGAGTGTTTTTTAATATATTTCAGGAATATAACATTCTTATGAACCATTGTGGTATAATATCTATCATCTTATATAATCACATAAGAATCAAAATCAGATGGATTAATTCAGTCATCTGATTTTGTGTTGACCTCTTAAATGGCATGGACCACCATCACAGGCTAGTGCACCGACCATTTACATTTTCATTATCTAAAGAATAATTAAATAAATATTATTATACTCTTTGTTGGCTATTTATTAGCTGATCACTAACATTACTCATGGATTAAAAAGTACTTACTTTTCTAACTATAATATGTTGCATATTTTATTTTATTTATAAGATATTTTAATGGGACTCTCATTCTCCTCTCCATAAATAAATAAATAATACATAAATATCAAATGCATTAAATACATGATTTAATAATTTATCAAGCTGAAAGATGAAATACTTAAGGTTATAAGGAGATTCAAAAGAAACATATTTTTTAGATCGCAAAAAGCATCAATTAGTGAGAAATGGGTGGAAACAATATTAAATTGAAAATATGGGGACAACTTATGTGAAGGAGAAATAGGAAACCCTTTTAGGGAAAATATTCCCCATTATAGGAGCAGCATAAAAAAAATAATTAATTTATGTAGATCAAAATCCTAACATTTGTATCTTCAGATTCTAGTACAAAAAAACCATTTTAAACAACAACAATGATATTATATTAATAATACATCAAATTAAATATCATAGTAAGAAATATTATTAATAAAATATAAAATTTGAGAATAATTTTATTTCAAACATATACTGTTATTTTCCTCTAGTCGTCATTAATAATTTAATCTAGGATTTATGCCACATTAAAATATTATGGACATAATTTTCATTGCAGACTTCTCTTCCCTCAACCCTCCCACTTTTCCCTCAAACTTTTGTCTAAGCACCATGTGGAGCGGCCTAATTTATTACGGAGCAGCATATGCGGCAGACTAATTTAGTAATGAATGTAGACTTTTCCTCTTGGGCTAGCCCCGTTGACCACCGTAGGTCAAATCCCCAGCTCCGGCCGAGTCCATGCCGCCATTATGTACCACCGGACGGTTTCAGCTAATGGGGTCATTCCGTAGACATATAATATGACTGCAACAGACGAAAGTTCGATGGAATAAAATAAAACCAATAATGGAGGCCCCGCCGTGAACAAGACCGTTTAGCGGTCGTCCGTTGCGATCAGGTCGTTACCCCCTGACGTCATCCCTAAGAAGTCAACGTCGCAGAGGAATTCCTATGTGCTGTTATGATGATACGACAAGGTCCGTTTGATGGATGGGCTCAGAGATCAGAAGCGTATGATCTCCATCTTCCGTCTGCCGTTTCCGGTACTTCTTAATCCCCCGATCTTCACGCGTGGGTCGTGGTTTCTGGTTGACTTGGGGCGGGCTCTCCGTTCTTCCCCACGCTTCCTCCGCATTCGCTCCAGGCCTTCCGTTTCCGGCGTAGACCAGCGGATTCTCCCGATCTGCGCGGAGATCGCTCCACCTATCTCGGAGGTTTCTCTGCATTGGGATCCGCGATCGGCGTTGAGGTACGGTTGCGATATCGCCGTGAGTTTCCTCTTCCCAGTAGATCCTTTGTGGACGATGGACATGGCTCCGCGGTCATTCAGACTTTGGCCCAGGGGCTTCTTAAATTCGTAACCGAGGGTTCTGTATCGAGTGAATTATTGGCGCATCATGGAATGATGGTTGTCGAAGATAGGGTTAATTGTCATCGCCATTAGGAAGGGATAGAGTCAATAATCAACGTTATAGCAAAAAAGATTCAGGAATTCTAGAAAAGAAATCATTTGATCCTCTTTGCAAGTTGATAAGAGGGTGCAGTTTGTTTAACATTTCTCAATTGATTTTCTTTTCCAGTTGATGATTTCTGAATCGGTTTATTTTCCTTTTATATTTCTGCAATTTGCATCAGTTATTGCGTGGCCAGAAGGGTATCTCTGTCGTATTTTAGAAGAAATCTATTTAGCATGAACAGAGCCACCTTTGTTCCGAAGGCCTAGCGAGTTACCGAATCCCGGCAGAATGGGAATATACACCTCTGGATGACCGAAGAACCGAAAGAGATGCTGGTATAATATGGGGTCTCCCCATCCTGCAGGATCAGAAAATCTTTCGTGCTAGAGCGATCAAATGAATTACGCTAAATGAATGAATGTCTCTGCTGCAGTTATCGGCAGCTGGCTAGTAATGATGAAAGATAATTGAATGGAAGAATTCACCTGAAATTTTATTCCGTCACAGAGCTCAGTGACTCTTATGATTTTGTCTAAAAGGGAAATGATTCGTCGTCCGATATCTTATTGCTAGATTCAGTGAAGTAAAATGAGCTTTCTTGTTCTATGAACATTTTGGTTCTGTGGTGACGCGAATGGGTGAATGGAGTGAAATCAGGCTGCGTAATTGAAGTAGTTGATACACTGTTCTCTAATGTCGAAATCGAGAATCCGACTTGTATTGATGGGGCGATTGGTTTTTCTCATTCGTCTTTCTAGAAACCGTATGTCACTTGAAACTTATGTTTCAGTCAACTGCTTCCAAAAACCATCCCTGAAAATGTGTTTGAAAGATCAGTTAAATGACATATGATGTTGAGAGGTAAACTTGGGACACGTGAATGGTCCTGTCTACTCATGTGCTAACTCTCATACCCCATCTTCCATGTCTAGATTGGCATTTTGGATTTTTCAGGGTTCTCTTTTTATTGGTGACTTTTCGAAAACGGATGAACTTTATTATTTAATTTGTTTTCTCTGTCTGAATCTTTTTACGCATTAATGGTTACTCTTATATCCGCCCAGAATAAGTTAAAAAAGATGAATTAAGGAAAAATAAAATTTCAAGAGAAGAATACATAAAATTTAATCAAAAAGGTAAAAATAAAGAGACAGAAAAACCGAGCTGGAGGTGAACTTATATCTGAAAGTTTTCCATATAAATTCTCGCTTGAAGACTATGTTTGTGAACACAATGTCTGGGTTGGTAAGCCTAGCATTTTATTGTGGATTAAATCATACAGACTTCGCACTATTGGGATCAAATGGGAGTTATTCACCCCTAATTACCTAGATCCATAATAGACCGTAGTCCTTATAGAAATTTTAAGTCGTCTTAGAAGAATCATAATTATTGGAGCTGAGGAAATCTAACTTTTTTCTATGATTAGAATAGTGAAAAAAAAGCATGACTTGTACCTGTTATAGACTGAATTCTCAAACTATGTTCCTATTGTTCAGTTCTTCCTCAAAGGTTATTTCATTTCTCATGCCAAACAACATGATGGCTCGGCTTTTTCTAGTTCATCATCTCTCAAGTCAGCTAAATGAGATAATCAGATCGTCATGAGGGGAGGCAGTTGATTCATCTGCTGATTGAGTTCGGTTTTCCTATGTTCTTTGGTAATCTTCTGAAAATAACTCTCAGAATGCTTAAGTGACTTTCCTGTGCTAGAGAGAGAAGATACAAACAATCGTAGTGGGGAATATGATGAATCGCAAGGGAAATGAAAAATTCACTTTACGTACTTATTGGATTTTGGAAAATATAGTTGTGAAAATGATCATTTTATAAGATGTTTATGATTGATAATCATTCTCCAAGGCCTACATAGACCTAGAGGCAGTAATGGTAGTTTTTTTCCAAACGACTCTCTGCTCTGACAATGTGTGTTAAAAAAGGACTTTTCGGTGTACCAGTTTTTTGGTGCTAGCAGTTGTATTTGGTCTGATATTTGAAGATTCCAAAATCATTTAAGAGAATCCAGTGATAGGGAATCGATTTCATCATCACGCAATTTACTCAAAGAGGTTATGAGCTTTGTTTCTCTATTTAGAAGAAAATGTTACATATCAGTTTCTAGGTCGTCTCTTTTAACCTTCAATTTTAAAGTTAGAAATTTGTCTTCAATACGTTATTGTCATATTTGCTAGTGGTAAGTTCTTACTTTCGTCAAAAAAAGTTTTAGGAACGTACATCACTGGCAGTTCTCTTTGTTGGATGGAACCCTTGTCCCCTCACCCGCTTAGTGCAAACCTTCAGCAGGTGTCAAACACTCACGACTACAGCTAGTGCGAAGATATTCAACATTCGGGAATCAAAGGTAGGCCTCTATAGCCTTTGGTTTACAGTGAATTATCTCGCTGGCGCTTTTGTCCAAAGTAGTCATTTGTTGACTGTGATGTGAGTTCATATTTTGAAAATATGCTTCTGTTGTCCTGATTGATGATTTTAGACATAACTTAGTATTCCGGCATTTTCCATTCCTCCAGGACATTTCACCTGTGTTTGAACATGAACTCGAGTTACTTTGATGCTGACAGTTCTGAGGGACAACCAATAACTGAAGAAAAGAAAGCCAAGGTGAATCCTAAGGATGTTGTCTACTTGATCATTTGAATTTGTTTTGCTGGACCTCAGTTAACTTGACCTCTTTATTTATCTGGACTTGAAAATAAAGTTATGGAAACTATGAGCTGATGCTTTTTTGTTCCTTTTTTGATTCCATTGTTTTCCAGGTCGTTGAGATCAGAAAGTTGTTGGGTCCATTGCCAGAAAAATTGTCACTTTATTGTTCTGATGCATGTATTGCACGATATCTAGAGGCACGGAACTGGAACATCAAGAAGGCACTCAAAATGCTCAAAGGAAGCTTGAAATGGAGACTTGACTATAAGCCAGAGGAGATACGCTGGGTGAGCTTCTGTTTTAGATGTGACGCACTTGGTAACAAAACTTTTTCATATTTTTTCGAAAATTTATTTGGAAGGTACATGTGGTGGTTTGAAAAGCTAACAGAAAGTCTTCTGACAGAAGTCATATTTCCTTCCAAGGAGTATTCCCAGGTGTGAAATCTTAGGATTTTCATGGCTATTGGATCATTGAAAAGTAACCCAAATGAGTTGACCTCTCACGGGATCAATCATGTATTAGATTCCACAAATCATAATTCTGAAACTATGACTTACATGTAATCATTCAAACAGTCAGTGTTGGTTACTGATGCATGTAAAAGTGTTGTGCTCTTGTGTTATGCATCCCTTTAGTTGGTTTATCGTTTTCAGTTGCTCTTTCAATCAATGATAGTTTGAGAAAAATATCAAGAGCTTTAGTAAAAACAAGAGCAGGTCAAAAAAAATTTTGTGTAGATCAAATACTCGTAGTGGGTTGCAAAATGCTTGTCTTCTTTCAAAAATTACTACGAATTAATTTAAGTGAAAATGGATAATTGATATTATTGTGTCACTTCTCTATGATTTACTTATTTTATTCATCAGCATTATCTTTGCGGAAGCATGGGTTACACTTTTAAATATGATACAAAATGGGTAGCTTATTAGTACTGAAAAAATACGATTTAGTTAGAAAGTCCAGTGTTGTAGAAGAGTACAATGACACTGTCCACAACAGTTTTGTTGCGATTGGTTTCATGCTAGCTAGTCCGTTACGACTGCCACTGATATGAAGAGAGGATTATATGGCAGGAGCATATTTCTGTGCAGAGTGGGTAGTCCCCAATCGTATGTCATCATGAAAGCCCTGTAGGGAATAACCTTGAAGGGAAAGAAGGGGAAAAAGTCTGAAACCATGTGGAAAACGAGAAGTTATCTTTCTCCATCTGATCATGCCTTGAAAGGTTTTTTATATCGTTATATTTAGAGGAGCTCGTCTCATATGAGCACAAGCTGATTATTTTACTTCGAAACGAGTAGCCAGGGAGGAAATTTTTGGGTTTGACCAGAGAACTATGCTCCCTGGTTCCTGCCAAAACCTGGTGAGAACAAAGTAAAATTGGAAACTTTTTTTGACCTCTTCAATATAAGTTTAATAGAGTCAAACCATATTATAATGGTCCTATATAACGAAGCAAAAGATAAATCGTCAAAGATGTTTTTTTATTAGAATGCTGGATGTTTAATCTTCCCCTAGGTGGACACTTACCTAATAAGAATTTCTCGGAAATGAACTTATGCGCATGAAGGTTTCAGAGAGATTTCAGGAGCAACTGGGAATTTTAATTCTTGACGCAATCTCTCCCTTAAACCCAGCATCTATTTAAAACTTTGGATAATATCTGATTTAGCGGTCTGTATCTTTATCTGGATAGACTTCTCTTTTCTTGTGGTCGATGATCCCCACTTATTGTCAGATGGCAGTGATCAGCATAGTCTTTTACATTATATTGCATATGCTGTTACTCAAGTTACCTTCCCTCATTTTAACCACAATATTTAGGTTAGAGAAATGTTTCTGCCCCCTGACAGGATAGATTAAGCGTGTAGTGGTATCAAATTGAGCATGTACTTCCCTCTTGCAAAAATCAATTTCATCTGGAAAGTAATGCTTCTTAAAACTGAGCTGTACCATTCTCTCCTGTATAAATCAGAGGCTCCTTGCAGCTGTTTAGTGCATCAGTGGACGGATGGTCTTTCTTCCATTCTTCAAGACTCTGAAAGCCACCCCCTGATGGTTTCAGGATGGGAATCGTTTGTAGATCACTGCATCATTTCGAACCGCCGTTTGGACTAGGATCGTCGTCATCTGAAATTTATATGCACGTTTCTTGACTGGTGGCAAACAGTGAACGATAATCCTTTACAAACCCTGACCAAGGCCTGAGGTTAACATCCTTGAGAAGAAGAGTCATCTGAAGGCTCAACGCTTTCATTTCAGAGATAGTGCCTCTAAAATAGCTTGGCAGTTACCTTTAGTAAGATTTCATGAGCAATTCAGAAGTCAACCTTGTCCCTCCGAGTCGTCGCTTTATTAAATTTTGGTGATTTTCTAATGGGTAGGGCAATACACTTTGGGGAATTCATGCCATCATGTCATTCCACGCCATTTAAGCCATTTTCATTACGTCGGATCTACTCTTATCTTGATATTGAATCTTGGTGTTAACTGCTTCACACCCTTAAATCACTCCTAGGGCTGTACCTTTTCTTTTCTCTATTAAAATAATCACTTCAATGAGATGGGGTTTTCTGACGCCGACTTCAGGAATCATACGACCATCACGCATCATGGAGATACAATCTTAGCAAGAAAACAACGGCTTTTCGCTCGATTTGTTCAACTGTTGCTTCCGTAGACTTTTATATTCCCTTCTCGGTGCACAAAATTTCTTCTTCCGACTTACCATCCTTGTATTATCAGATCTTATTCATCCGTTCTTGCCGTCCCGTCTGCTGATTCAGCCGTTGCATGCTGAAGGAAGAGGTTGCTGCGGAAGCTGAGACGGGAAAGATCTACAGGACGAACATACGAGACAGACATGGGAGGAGCATCCTCGTCATGAGGCCTGGGCGCGAGGTCTGAATTAACTAGGCACCATGCATGCAGCATGCAGCCTCCATGTGCTTCTCCTTCATCTCCTTGACTAGAACCTCTGCGATCGCATTGTTCTAACAAGGCTGTACAGATGAGAGAGGGGTTTTGACGGTTCTTCTTAAGAACTGACAATGGGCAAATTCTCACTCGTCCAAACTGCAGAACACCCACTCAGGCAAGGGGCAGATCAGGTACCTGGTCTACTGCATGGAGAACGCTATCTTGAACCTTCGTCCGGGCCAGTCCCAGATGGTCTGGTTGATCGACTACGATGGGTACAAGCTATCAAATGTCTCCCTCTCGGTGAGCAAGGAGACGGCGCACATACTGCAAGATCATTACCCGGAGAGGCTGGGGGTGGCTGTTCTCTACAACCCACCCAAGTTCTTCGAACCCTTTTGGAAGGTGCGTCTTTTGACTCCCGTTGCAAAATCTAAAATTTTCCATCATCTAGAAAAATATCTGATCTTTAAATGATATATAGAACACTTTTCAACCACCAAGATTATTCCAAAAAAATCTAGTTCATTTCCATAATATATTTCTCTTTTGACCCATTCCATCTAGTTCTTCTTTTGACTCCCGTGGCAAAATCTAAAAATCTCCATCATCTAGAAAAATATCTGCTCTGCAAATGATATATAGAAAATTTTTCAACCACCAAGATTGTCCCAAGATTATTCCAAAAATCTAGTTCCTTTCCATAATAGATTTCTCCGCTGACACATATCTGAAATGTGCCTTTTTTAAAATATCTACATATTTAGAAAATATATGATATGTTTAGCGACCGTGGAATACCGTCCCAAGATTATTCCAAAAAGCTAGTTCCATCCCATGTATTAACTCCCCGGATGCACATTCCATGGCCTACAGTTCTCGATACTTCCCTCTTCCAAGCTCTGCCATCAAAATTACGGAATGTCTCCATGGATATTCTGGTCGCAACCCCCCTCCCCCAGTGCCTGGGCTTCAAGATCTTCAAGATCTTCACGCCCAGAAGAGTACTTACTACATGGGATGGTCAAGCTGAACTCTGCCTAATGCAGATGATCAAGCCCTTTCTGGAGCAGAAGACCCGCAAGAAGGTGAGGTTCGTCTACACGGACGATCCCTCCAGCTCGAAGATCATGGAGGACGTCTTCGGCATGGACAGGCTCGAGTCCGCTCTCGGCGCCGACAGTCAACTCTCCTTCGACTACGAGGAGTACGCCAATCGGATGAGGGAGGACGACAAGAGGATCCCCTCCTTCTGGACCAGGAGAGAAGACGCTAACGGAGGACAAGCAGAGGAGAGAACAGCGGCCGAAGTCCCTCCTGTTCCGAGATTATCGGAGTCCGAATCGGACGACTCGTCCGGAGGGAACGGAGTCGACTCGTCCCCCCAGAGGCCTCCCTCGGGTGACGAATCGGTGGATGAGGAGCCTCCAAGGGCGTCCACATGAACAGCAGGCCGCCTCTACACTCCGGAGGAGCTGGACATGGAGTAAATTTTTAAGCCAAGCCCAGGAGGATCCGGAGGAAGACGAAGCGGGCCGTGAGCGCCGCCACTAACCTTTGGGATTCGGCTCTTGAAGACTGGTGCTCCCTCACTATGGCTGAATTACCCGAACCCATGTGGCCCACATAAGTCGAACCATTTATGGTATAATGCTTCCTCACCAGAGCTGAGCTCACCGTCGCTCGTATTACCCAAATCTGGCCTGAGCTTCCTCACCGCAGCTCTCTCAGTGGAATCGCCCCTTTCAGCTTTTGGTGATCTTTCCTTACCTAGGAGGGGTTCTGTTCTGAGCAGATTGGGCCAGTTTTTCTTAGGCCTATCATTTGGATGGGACTTCAGTTTAGCATAGAGGGAGATCCGGCCGTTGACCCAGATTAGACCCAACAAGCAGGCGTACATCTTCTGACGAGAGTCGAGCGTGGGGGGTATTTCATGTCAAACCGAGGCCAAAAATGTGAAGTGTTTGATGTCCAGGGTTGGCCTTATCCAGATAAAGTTGACCGTTGTAGAGGAATGCTTTGAGAGTTGAGCTCTTATGGCCGGGGTGGGGGGTGTGCATCCAGTCAACAAGGTAATTTTTTAGTAGACAGACCCTGTGAGATAGACGTCTAATCAATATTGGCTAGACACATTGCGAATCCGTGTTCAGTCTCACCAAATATATATCTTTTTTCTACATCTTCATTCTTAAAAATTAGAAAATTTGAAGACAATTTGGTCACATTCTTCGTTTTCTGAGGTTTGGAATTTCTATTCAATATTGTCTTTCGTGTTAAAGACAATTTCGGCTTCATATTTCAGAGATCGGTTCAAAAAGAATAATGAGGTTGATTCAATGGTATCAACAAAATTATGATGTAGGTTGAGAGTTATAAATAATTCAATGATTAAATTCTCAATGATACACTTTTTTTTTACCACAATCTTTAAAATTTGTGATTACTAGACTTAAGGAAATGCAACTTGTGCTCTTCAGGATAAAGTATGATTTAATTATATATCAAGTCAAGATTAGTATTCATTCATGCAAACCTATGACTGGCGTCTACCCTGAAAATTATATAAAAATAAAATAAAATATAGTTTTAGAAAATGAGAACTAGACAACACTTAAAATCAGATTAGGTAAGATATGCCTATAACTTATAGTAAATTAATACTAAGGATTGAGACTACATACAATGTACACATAAGGCATATGGATTCAATATGATGAAAAAATAGCATGCTAACGTGATGCAATGATAATGAAAGAGGAAAAAAACATATTTGAAATTGATGACCAATAGAAGAAGATTTGGATTCAAATTGATAAATTGATCAAATAGTCTCTTGATAGGACAATTAATGTTTTGGACATCTCTTTTTGTTTAACAATTTACACATCCAATTTGAGAGAAAATTCACAAACATTTTTTTATTTATGACCTCTCGAAAACTCATATTATGTGTTTTGACACTTTTTAGTTATGAGGTCTATGAGTGATTGATGTAAATTATCTTTCATTAATTCAAAATTAACATAAATTTTAATTTCTTTCTTAATTTGTTACAGAACAATTAGGTCAACAATTGATGACACTATAGTTCTTGGTTTGACGTTGCACAACACATTGAGATGGATCATGATTTGAATCTACGTTCATCTTCTTGAATCTTGCCACTTTTTGCTTGGTGATGAAGAAAATACATCTAACACCTTTTGAAAGCTTTTATTTACAAATGATGATTCATCTCTGAATAGTTTGTCTTCATTTTCCAATCAAACATTGGCATCTATTTTATAATATTTCTTGTGAAGATTAGGAGATGGTTAACATCAATTTTAACTCTTTTGAACATATTTTAGTAGGGAATCTCAAATGATCACTCTAGATCTAACATAATTTATGACATGTTTCTCCAACTTGATCTCCGATTTGTGCCAAATGATATCACATGGGGTTTCCAGACCTACGAATTTGGGAATTTGAAACCTTAGAGTGTTTTAGGCACCATAAGTATGAGACCTTATATTCCTTGCCATCACATTGAACACTTTAATGTTCTCGTGTTATCTTTAAAGGTTCTTCATTAAATGTCATCAAACTTATTATAACATTTATTCATTAAAGTATATAAGCAAGGCTAAAAACTTATAGCTATGAGAAAAAAATTCTACTATATAAACCTTATAATCCCCAAGCTCAATCATAATACAACTGATATATGACATTCTATATATTCCAAAGAGAAAGATAGAAATGGCCAAATTGTGTGACATGTAGGGTGAAATAATAGGGATAGCCTCAAGTTAACTCTATATTATTCTAGGCCTATTCTCTTCGCAAACTTGATTTACACAATATTATAAATTTGGAATAGGCACTAAACTTATTTTGGCGATAGACACCCTTAGGTAATTTTTCTAAATCACATAAAAATAATATACTATCCACATAGTTCTGAAACTTGGTCAAGTATTCTTATTTATAAAAGGTATCCATTTTAATTTACTCTATAAAATTATTTTAATAAGAAACACATACATGAATTTAGTAAATATTTTATTTTAGTGTAATACCACCTGATGCATCTCCAAGGAATTAAGATTTCTTATGCAATCTTTGTTACTCAATTCCCATGAAGAATAATTTAGTGACTAGCCTAATAAAATTTCAAATAAAATAAAAAGTAGGGATACAATTAGGAGCCTTCATATTGCATATTGAATATAAATTATAAATGGGATGCCTCATGAAAGTTTTATAAATGCAACTCGAATGAAATTGAACCGAGTGAGGTCAACTCTAGAAGTTGGGTTTCAGCATTTTATCTATAAAAAAATGATTACTTTTTTGCCTATAGTAAAAATGTGAAATTGAAGCTAGTGCAGTTAATAGAAGTGTAAATATAGAGCCCAACACAATTTAGGATAGTTTTATGATCTTAGTCTTCAATGTAAAACTTAAAAAGAAAAGTAAAGCTAGCCTAGCCATGATGATTTTGTCTAGTTTTTTATTTGGTTTCTACATAAAACCTCTCAATTTCCTCTTATCGTGTGATTGGTTGATGATCACTTGCGTGCTAGTTGTGGGCTCCAATGGGTCCAATAAGGTCAAGATGCAAATAAGTTTGATTAAACATATGAGGGACACTAAAATTTAGGTATATTAGTCGTTAATCTGGCCAAGCAAGAGAGTTATATAATGTTGTGGTTCAACCCTCTTGCATACTTCATTATCCACACTTGCATTATTTGGGATTTACTATCAACATGGAGTATAATAGCTCAACATCAGGCATCAACTTAGCTCATTATATTCATGACTTTTACTCAAATGCCCTCAACACTATATAGATTCACATTTTTAGGCAGCCAAACAAACACTAGATTTTTAGTGCTAGTTCACTATTTCAAATCTGTAGCTCTACAAATGCTTGTGTATATGCAAACACGGGCCTGGTGATAAACATCTACCACTATAAACGTATCCCATGGCATGGATAATTGTTTGTTCTATCATTTCCTTGAAATGTGATGTATGAGCTTAGAATCAATTCTTGTAACTTCAGTGTTGCGACATTGTCAATAGAAATTTAACTTGCAAGTGTTAATTTTTTGTTGATAAGGTGTATAACTCTTTTGAAAGATCTCTTCTCTTGAGTTTTTCTTGTTGCTTACGTTTTTGTCCTTCCTTCTCTCACATTTTTTTAGTTCTCTTTTTTCTCAAAAACTTACCCTTATTCAATTATTATTCAGCACCCAATAAGGTTGCATTCCATGTTATTCCAATGGTATATTGTGAAGATCAAATATATAGCTTTCATCTTGTTACTAAAATTAGGCATACAAGTTTCTTCCCCCTAATATAATTTTGTAGTGATCTAAGACAATGGAATGATGTAGAATTTCAGAAGTATATATTCTCATGCTGATCTTGTAATACAAAGTAAATTTCTTATATTGAGATATGTGGCTTTATACACTATGACATTCAATAATGAAATCCTCATATATTGAAATATCCAACTTGACATATGAAGTTATTTATGTAGTGCTCTTGAATTATATACTTATATTTCCAATGTAAATTTAATATCTTAAAAATATTATGCTTTGTATACCTTGCTATTTCACAATCTAATCCCATGAACTCAACTATTAAGCTTGATGCACAAAGTTATTGACATACTGCTTCTTAGTTCATATATTAAAATACTATGCATTATATATTATGTTATGCTACAATAAAATTCTCATTTACTAAGATATAGGCTTTAATATACTGAGTTATTTATGTATATAGAGTTACCTAGCATATATGCAATATAATTACATATACGCTATGTAATTATATTGCATGAGGTTTCACATATTGAGATGTCAACTTTCAGATACTTTCTTGTTTTACTATGTAAACTCTATTAATTGAAACATCAACCTTGATATGATCAATTATTCTATAATGCAACTTATCATATGTTAAAATGGTAATCTAAATTACTCTACGTATTCTAGCATCTAAAAGCTAGCAATATCCTCTCTCTCTCACACGCACACACATGCGTGCCCACAATGTGGTCATCAGACTTGCAACATATTGTTTAGGCTTTTCTCTATACCAAAACAAGTCTATGCATACTCGGATTGGGGTCCACAAAGGTTTGCCTCGTTAACATAAATCTTACACATAGGCCAGACATACTTCAACCTCTCCTCACCCCCACAATGTGTATCTCTTTCTCTTCTCTCTTCTGTCTCTCTGTCTCTCTCTCACATAGGTGCAGACCAAGGGTCGGGCCCGGCCTCCCAGAGCAGACCCGAACTTCATGGGAGTCTAACTCGCTGCAAGTTTGTTGGACATTTCTCTTGGCTGGGGCGTGATCCGAGCCCCCTTGTCAGACGGTGGGTACCGCTCTCATCCCCTTCCCTATCAGCTACGGGCTGAGTACCACCAAAATACCTTCCCCGAAGCACGAAAGCACATCAAGTCTCGTTTGCAGGACCGCCGTTCGATAGTACCCTCTCAGAGAAACAGCCACACCATTAAGTCCTCCCCTACCTCTCATATCTAGATCGCTTACAGGCAATAGTCCTCTGCATGAGATACGACAGGCGTAGAACAGAATTCCCTTGCTATAAATACGTACGTTTCCCCGTCTTCATGCAGAGCTGGCAGCCAGGTAGATACCCTCCGTCCCTTTGTTATACACTGTTTCAGAGGGAGGCCCGTCTGTCCGTGGGCCTCAGTTGGCTACAAGCTAGGCCTGCGCTGTGGTCTGAAGGCGATTTACTGGATTAGACGTGAAGAGTGGAGCCGCATGCAGACATATCGCACGGCGACTATTGGCATTTACTTCCCCACAGGTTAAAAGTCTTCCCCTTTTGGGTCACATCCTGTCGGGACAAAGGAAAGGACACTATAGAGAGAGAGAGATAGAGAGAGAGAGGCGGGGGAGCTCGGGATCCAATGGCACCGCTGACCTGTCCAAAGTAGCCTTAATGGCGACGCAGTGCCGGAAGGGTATTTACGGTAGTGGAATACTAACGCCCGACGGAAGTTACAATAGAACTGGAGACCAACGAGGGGGGGAAAGGGTGGCTGGGAGGGGGTACAGAAGGTTCGATTATGGTAATGAGATGATCCAGAAGGCTGGCCTCGAGGCCTAAGAGAGGTCAATGAGCCTTTCATAGGGTCCTTGCAGCTGTCTCCTTCGCTATTACTGCTTTCTTACAGCCGGGAAAGGGCTGCGTATATGCCAGTCCAGTCAATTCTCCCATACATGTGGACTAAGTCAACGGTTCAGAATCCATGCGGGCCAGCTTGGTTCGGGTGCCACTTAAATTCACTAGACAACCCCATCAAAGGATCCGATCAAGATTGAAAAACCCGAAAGGAAATCCATCCATGGATGCATCAACATCGTTTGAATTTAAATAGCTTGAAAGGTGATTACTAAAGACTAGCAGTTCTTGAAAGCTTCCCTCGTCCTTGGCTATACATGCTGCGAAGCTGAGCCAAGAAAATGCTGTGGGTTGACTTCCACAGCTAGCAAACACAGGCATGTGTCCACATCTGTCATCGGTTTGTTGTCTTCCTTCTTTAGGCAGCTTTTGGTGGGAACTGTAGTGAAAGAGTAGCGGACAACAGATAAGAGCCATTTTGGCGAAGGATCATATCTCTCTCTCCATATAAAATTACGGACTGCCAATCTCAATCCATGTCAATTGACCACTTACATCAATGTTTCAATGGACTATATGTTATTTATCTCATTATGAAATGTGTTCTTTTATTCTTCACTTGATCTGATCATCAAATTATTGTCATTTTAAGCGATGGCCAATAAAGCTGTTTAAAAATATTCTCATTTACATCAATATTTTATATTTTAAACGTAAAATGTGATTATTGTTTTTATTATTTCAATTCCAAGCTAGTCCATGTCTAAATGCATAATCCATTTAATTAAATTTTACCCCTTTTGTGTAACTTAAGTTAAAAAATTACGAAATATTGCAGGATTTTGAAACTCTTGATAATGGGAATACCAAATCAAAGGGGGAGTCGAGACTGAGTGGAATAAATTTATTGGTTATTTAGATCAATAGTGATAGCAACATTCAAAATTGAGTCGCAGATGTTATTAGGGGAATATGGGAAAGTGGTGAAAATGACCGACTTACATTGCTACCCTTATCACAGAGAAATGTTGGGTTGGTTTGTCGGTATTACTTTTGTAACTGAAGGTAGTAATCATCTATTTTATAAATTGCCATGAATATCTGTTCATCTATTATCCCAAACTCCTTGCAGTGGTTTATGGCACGGCCTCCTCATACATATAATGGCCAACGGGATCTTATACCTATATTCCCCATGGAATAATAGAAGAAACTGATCTTTCCGGTGTGCGCGCCGACGAAAGGTCAGCTGTGCTCGCTACGGGCACACGAATCTGCTTCCGGGGAGAACCCGAGAACCGCCGTGGAACCCACGGCCCCGCCGTGATGCGAACCCGGCATGGTGGCGGTCTCTTCCCGAACCCACTGGCCGGTGCCAGGTTGGCCGGGCAGTTCGGACTTTTGGAGCCTCTGCATGCAGAGAACAGAACAAGGGATGTTGACCTGTCCCTCTCTCTACTCTCTTGTCTACAGTCTTCCCGACGCACTCTCTCTCTCTCTCTCTCTCTCTCTCTCTGTTTCAATACCCGAGACTCTCGCGGTGCTTCTCTCTCTCTCTCTGTGTTTTATGCTCTCTGTATTCTCTCCCTCTATCTCGACTCTCTACCTTCTCTCTGCGCTTCCTCCGAAGTATAGTACTCTCTACCCGAGACTCTGTGTTTCTCTCTCTCTCTCTCTCTCGACTCTCTACCTTCTCTCTGCGCTTCCCGTCCTTCATAGTCTACTACTCTCTATGGTCCATTTGTTCTCCTCTTCCTCTTCTCTCTCTCCGCCTTTCGCTCTCTTCACTGTGTATCTGTGTCTCTCTCCGTCATCTGTAGTGTCGGCTCCCTACTTTCTCTCTGTCTCTCTCTGCGACCCTCTGGTCTGCTCTGAGCTGCTCCAGACCCTCCACTGTAGTGCTCTTATGGCTGGCCTAAGAGAGTAAGAGAGAGAGAGAGAGAGAGAGAGAGTCGGTGGCCTCGTTTTAGCCGTCTGATCTTCCGACGGGCTGCAGACGAACTAAAAGGCTTTTTCTCGTCTACATTCCCCGGCTGTACGGTTCCCATCTATCCTCACTTTCCGGTGAGCTTAACACCCCAAAATTTTACGTTTTCACAAGTCGCAGCTTAGCGATAATATTCACTTTTTAAGAATGATATCTCACGTGTATGGCACCGATGGGTAACCATACCGTCGGTTACTGTATTCCGCATTTGGTGATTAAAAAGACTCCCGAGAGACAGATTTCTCCGGCAGTACGTGGGTCATCTGCATCCCTCGCCTCCGCCACCACCGCAGAAGGTCCCGGCGGCGCTTCGTCGGTGGAGTGGGATGGACACGGCGGCGAGCGGCGCCGCCGCCGCTGCGCGGGCGAGGAGGAGCAGGGAGACGAGCCCTGACAGAGCTCGCGCCGCCCCTTCTGCCAAGCCGAGGCCCCTCCGTAAGGTTCAGATCGTCTACTACCTCTGCCGCAACGGGCAGCTGGAGCACCCACACTTCATGGAGGTCGCCCACCATTCCAGCCAGCAGCTCCGCCTGAAAGGTCCTCTCCGCCGCCGCCGCCGCCGCTGCCCTCCTCCGGCGACCTTCTTTTCCATGGTTTCTCTGGTCCTCACCTTCGAGTTTTTTTTGATGTGACAGCAGATGTGATGGACAGGCTGACCTTCCTGCGGGGAAAGGGGATGCCGTCTCTCTTCTCCTGGTCCTGCAAGAGGTATGTATGTATGGGGAGCCAGAACCAGAGCTCCCGAGTCCACCTCTCTTGGCGGCGCTGAGCTGAAGGAATTCTTCTGAGCGCAGGAGCTACAAGAATGGCTTTGTGTGGAACGACCTCGCCGAGAATGACGTCATCCAGCCGGCCGACGGTGCCGCCGAGTACATCCTCAAGGGCTCCGAGATCATCGAAGGCTGCTCTGGTTAGCCTCTCTCTCTCTCTCTCTCTCTCTCTCTCTCTCTCTCTCTCTCTCTCTTCTCTTCTCTTTCTAGCTTTTCTCACCAGCTTTTGTTTGGCAGAAGGGTTCCGGCGGCTCCAGGTCGGCGGCGGTAACCGGGGGAAGCTCCTCCGCGGCGGAGAACCAGAGGAGGATGTCGGAGAGGAAGCAGACGAAGAGGAGACTGAGGAGGAGAAGCCATGGCGGAGCCAGCAGAGGAGTGCAAGATTCTCGCGAGCTCGCCACAGTGAGCTCGTTCTCGACGACGACGCCTCCCCGCCGTCGTCCTCTTCCTCGGAGAAGGCCCACCCTCCCGTCGTCGCTCTCCGGCGAGCCAAGGGAGCGACCGCCAGCGTGCCGGCGAGGTACGACGACGCCTACCCGGCGGAGGAGCCGCCTCCGGCGCAACAGCAGCAGCCGCGTAGTTCGGTCCTTCTCCAGCTCATCGCCTGCGGCTCCTCCGTCGTGGGGAAGGGTCGGGCGGCGCCGCCGAGGACGGCGGCGCCTGCTCCGGCCTCGGGTGGCCACTGCAGCTCCGGCAGGAAGAGCGCGGCGGCGCTTCACAGGGAGGTTCTCTGCAAAGCGGCGGCGGCGGCGGCCGTGGAGGAAGAGGATGCGGAGGACATCAGCCAGATGCCCTTGAATCCTAATCCTCGGAGGGAGGAGAAGGAGTACTTCAGCGGGAGCATTGTCGACTCGTTGGCTGAGATGAGCCGGGCCGCCGCCGGCCCCTGCCTGAAGAAATCTTCTTCCTACAACGAAGAGAGGTGAGAGAGATCTCCGTAATTCTGGGAAGTCAAACCCTCCCATATTTCGTATCCACTGACGTAGTTGTTTCTGAGACTTCGCAGGAGTGCCAAATGCGGCCTGGGGGGAGTCTATGAGGCGGCGGCGACGGCGTCGGCGGCTGAGGAGAGGGGGCAAAGGAGCGGCGCTGGCAAGTGCATTCCTGGCGGAAGGAAGAGGATCGCCGGAGACGGCGGCGGCGGTAAGCAGTAGCAGCAGGCGGTGTAAAGAACGGACCGGCGGAGGAAAGACGATCAGCGGCGGCGGCGGCAGTAGGGGAAGGCTTAGTGTTGGAGGGTTTTAATGTGCTCGTGGGTTATCCCTCTGAGAGCAGTTTGACTTAGTGGGAAAGTCAAACTGTCCTGACCTGACGTTTGCTGCTCTGTTTGACCTTGCGTGAATCCCAAGGAATTCCTCTTGAACTGTTTCGGATAATCATGGCCCATTGCGTAGGATCTGATTCCGCGTTGACTCCTGCTTATCTTTGTGGTCTATGAGGATTTTTGGTGACTATTTCCGCCTGCGCCGGGTCAGACGGACCCAGGACGGTCGGCCGCTCTCAAATTCAGAAAAGCCCGGAAACACTGGTTTCTGGAGAGAAAAACCGCCTATAGTTTTTAGTACATTAGGGGGCGTAGAGCTTCCAAAAATGATGACAATCAATCGTTGTTCCACAATAAACTTTATGTTTACTGATAAGTTTAGTGATTGAAACCCTAATTTAAATTAACTTTTTAAATAATTTTTCTACACATTTTCAAGCCATTTCTGCCCACATGGGCTACGATAATGTCTCGATCCCTTGTAAACATGTGTAGAGAAAGATATTGACCTTGATAGTGTTTAAGATAGTTGAGCAATATGGTAGTTAAAATTAATGCATCTATTGATTTCATACTCCATATGTATGAGTATGACAATTTGATTACTTAGTGTGATGTTAAAGCATGAGTTCAATGCCCATAAAGGGTGAGTATGCAACTATCTAGAAGTGGAGGGAACATGCTTTTAATTGTGAAAGGACGATTAAATTTTTCCTAGAGAATTATTGTGTATGGTAGGTAAGCTGCGCACAATAATTAATATCACGATACATGTGTTTTATAAAAAAAGATATAAGCATTTCAGCAACTTTTCTATAAAATTTCGTTTGCATGATTTGCATTTTAGTTAGCTTGAAACTTAGTTTCTCATCCCTCATGATGATGGTGGAAAGGTATGACATGTAGAAAGTTGTGCATTAAGAGTATGTAATATGTTTGCCATGTGTATGTTGTGCAAAATTTGATGCCCCTAATTAATTAAAACCGCCATTGATTAAACTTTTGTATATCATCATGATTGAAAACTCATCTTGAACATCAACTCTATGATCAAATAGAATTTCACTATAAAAGCATTATCTTAGTCTTAAATAAACAATTATAGTGTTATTTACTCAATTCATTTCAAGTAAACAAAAAAATTGTTATAAAAGTTAATTCCTTTCACATTGAAGTCTAAAGTAAGGAAAAGATACATTCTTGTTTGTTAAGGCCAATATCCATCATGATCATGTCAAAAGAGGTGTAATAGTTTCAATTATGAGATAAAACCATTATTATGTAGTGACAATAAAATATTTATGTCATGTCAAGGAGCATAATTTATGATTATTATGTCATGGTTTTGATATTTAAGCATCATAAAATGATATGTCAATGATAATTTCCATTTGCAAAACATATATTATGGGAAAAAATACATGCAGGATGGAAAAAATTTGCAAGGTATGTAATTATGTCAAAATTACAAGCAAACATAACTATAACTGCTAGAAAATAGTTTAGCAAGTCATTTTGTGATGGCCCCTAGATTACTTCATTTTAAATAGAGAAGGGTGAGTTGAGTCTATTTTTGAATATCTTTTTTATTTTCTTCTAGTTAGTTTTCTAGTGATTTTCTTTTCTTGTATTAGGTTAAATATATAATCTGTAAATGTGTAAGAAGAGGAATAGGATAAAATAACTGATTCACAATTTTCTATTCATTCTATTTACTAAACCCAATGTCCACTTCTCAAAGGATCTTTCATCGCGTTTTAGTAATCACCACTATGATTATGGTTAACCCTTTTGATTTTTGCTCCCCATTTCTCTATAAACTTTCTGAGTCTATGAGATTCCACAAGAAATCTTAGTTCGAACAACTATTACACTTGGTAAGCATACCACAAGTACTCATACAATAATAGAGCACACCACAAGTGCTCACACAACAACCAAGTATACCACAAATGTTCACACAACAACTGAACACACTACATGTACTTGCACAATAGCCGAGCACATCACTAGTGATTGCACAATAGCCAGACATATCATATGTGCTCACCCAATTAAGCACACCATAGGTGTTCACACAATAAGAGGATAATATGCTACACACAACTAAGCCTTTAGTAAGAGGTAATACTGTCAATGTTAAGAAATATCAACTTGGACGACCACCAAATGTTATTAGCTTGTGGATGCTTGAGTGAGAAATAATTTGTTGCTAAGATTTACACTCAAGAGTGTCTAAGCTTGCCAGATTTGAGCTAGAGGAAGAGGAGGTTGGGAGAAGTCATCAATGTCTAAGGAACATATTGGTCTGATTATGCAATAGAAGTCTTATATTAAAATTTTCTAATGAGCCTTTTCACTGTTGCACTAGATCCTTGAGATCTTTCTATTCTTTATAAATTTTTGGTATTAGCTTTCTCATCATTAGAAACAAGCTTAATTAATTAAGTTTGATAATCTGCCCCTTATTTATGATCATGACACAATTATAAGATGGAATATGAATTTGATTCTACATTGTATGAAAGTTTCTCTTTGTTACTCCCCCAATCATCTTCACTTTCTGGTTCAATTCTTTATGATACTCAGTTTTGTGATGTGCTTCAAATTTCATATCTTATTGTCACCTTTGTTCTATATACCTAGAGTTTTATCTAAAATAATTGTGCTTGTTGTGACATCTAAAAAAATAGAAAGAGACCCAATACACACAAAGAGAGAATAAGATATAACAGAACATTTGGTACAACAATATCTATCAATGAGGTATAACATCCATAAGTTGGTTCACAAGACCATTTAAATTTGATGAACTGAACATCAGACATGAGACATGAGCTCAAGGTAGATCCCTCAATCATTGTAGTTGAACTAGAAGAGGAGAGGTAGAAACGATCATTTGATAGTTGATAACCATCTGATGTCCTATGACATGTAAAATTACCAGTGATGCTATGTTCATCACAAAAGTCAATAAAGTTAGAATTGTCAAATTCACCACTATGTTCACTCATAACACATTTAACTTTTAATTGTAATTTAGTTTAGATTATGAGACAATTTCACAACAATGGAAAAGGTTTCATCCTCAGAGAGTAAGAAATATTTCTAAGTATATCATGATAATCATTTACAATTACTAGGGAATAATACTTTCCTTGGAGACTTGTTGTAGATGTTGGTCCAAATATATGCAACTTGTTTTTAAAGGATTATCTGAAATGTTTTCCTTTTAAATAGATCTCACATGATATGTGTAGACCATCTTCCAAGGTGTATAATCCTTCAACCAAATCAAGAAAAACTAATTTCTTGATTAACTTAGTACTAACATTCCTCAATTTCTTATGCCACAACCTAAGTTTAATTTAATTTTTTTCATGATGTTTTTGTATCTATAAGTTCAGTTAGGTTAATGGTATACTTATTCCCATTTACGGGAGTAGCAAACAACACTATATTACTACTCTTATCAATAATTAAGCATCAATAAATGTTAAAATTTATTTCTAAATTATTATCTTATTGGTGACTAATGCTTATTAGGTTATACTTTAAGCCTTTGACCAAAATAACATCCTTAATTAAGATTCTATCAAGATATTTAATATTATCATTCCCTACAATGCATCAATTCTTATCATCTCCAAATGTAAATTTGTCTCTATCCATAACTTTGAATGAAGGCAACCACTTTTTTCTTCAATCATACGTCTTGAAAATGTATTGTCCAAGTACCCACTTAGTAATAGCCCACTAGAGAATGATCTAAAAAGAAGTAATTTTGGGTTTAGGAACCCAAATCATTCTGGTTTAAAAATTCGAAGATTTGACTTAACAAGTTAAACAGATTTGGTTGTGCTTAATGCATTTTGTGCCAGTGATGAGTTTTTGTAGATGGGATTAAATCCTAATCATTCTTCTCTTAATAAGGTCATTTATTTACATAATAAAATATTGAAGTTCTTTTAATTGGCATATAGTTTTAAATATACAAATTCTAGATCATAAAATTTATTTTCATCACATTGTAATTTTCTCTAAGTCAATCGGATTTACATATCAATCCTTGATTATCTGATTTAAGGTTGATGTAGTTCATGATGTGAATCACTTAAATTATTCTTCACATTTTTAAGTTCAAATTTTTTAGACTTCAATGCAAGAATCAATTCATCAAATGTAGACAAAAGAGTATCTTTGCTTAGTTCAAAATCATTTACCATGCTCCTCATTGATCTTTGCAATATAACAAACATGTGCATACTCATTAGAGTTTACCTCATCCTCACTCCATTTCACTACCAATGCCTTTTAATTTTCTATTTGAATCTTTCTTTCTCAGCTTTGGACATTTGACTTTCAAATGACCAGATCTGTTGCACTCATAACAGACTTCTTCCTCCCTATTAGAGCAAGTGGGTATTCTTGATTTTCTCAATTTATCATCTTTTTAAACACCCTTATGAATTTTTGAAATAAAAGCAACATCCCTTCTCCTAAGGAATTTACAAGTTCCTTATTAACTTTCAATGGAGCCCCCTTTTTCTTCTCCTCATGTTATTCTTCTTCTTTTTCTTTCTTTACTCCAATTTAAAATATTATAAGTGATCCCAATAATTTAACTGGCATTCTTTTTCTTAGATCTTTGGATTCTTCAAAGGTAATTATCTTGGGTTTTCAAGTAGGTGTTAAGGATTTGAGAATTTTCTTATTTAAATCAAGGTTAGAATAAGTTATTCATAAAATTTTAAGACTATTGATAATTTTAATGAACCTTTTGAACATATTTTTAATTGATTCATCATTTTTTCAATTTAAATATCTCATACTCATGAATTAATGTGTATGTTCTTCTAATTTTTCTTAGTAGTGTTTCATCATAAATAA